CGTTGCATGCCGGGTAACCAAGATTATCTCCGTCGCGTTATCACTGGCGTCGCGAGCAAGATCGTGGAAGGGCGCATCGGAAGACGGGAGAGTCAATAACGGGAGCGAGCGAACATAAAATATCAAGGTGCGGAATGCGCGATCGGATGCACGCGCCTCTTTCTGTTGTGGCGTGGACGAGAGCTGCACTTCGGGATAAAAAAAAAGGAAAAAGCAAGAAACAAAACTCGTCTGGACGAATAAATGTCCTTCCAATGGAATATCGTCACATCTCGTCGAAGCGAATTATAAATGCAAATTATAATACCGACGTGCACGATGATTTGCTCGTGCGAGATTTTCGCCTGTCCGCTCGCGCTTGAATTATGACGCAATTTCCGATCACGCAAGGATATCTCGTGATATAAACGAAAAGGTGAGAAAGTGAGGGAGTGAACTTTGGCGAGGCTCTTGATCAAATTCGCGATTGCAGCGATGCGTGGCGGCGCACCACAAATCATCGCATCTGTTGCTGCGGCTTTAGGGACGCGTATTTCTCGATGCGCGGGGAACAGGCGGTGACGATTGGTCAGCTTCTCCGGACGGTATACAGGCAAATTAGATCATGACGTCGGCTGTGTAACAAACTGATGACCGGAAAATCAAATGGGATTTATGGTCTTGCGATTGCTCGAGTGGGCCCGACGCGGTGTGCCGCATCGGTGACCACGTCAAACACTATTTCAGGAATTCCTGCGGGATTTTTCGCATCATTCTAATACAAATTGACTTTACCGATTTAGGAAGGACAGAGGGATACGAAGAACACGGCGTGAATACGTACCAGTAAATGATTTTTCTACATAAAAAGAATTTTACCGTAAAGATTATTATAGGATTTTGTAACCGAGGAGTAATTCAAGATTTTTTAATTTCATATGAGCTACTTATATTTCAGGAATTTAAATATTCCATTAAAACATTTACTATATTTGTAGCGAAATGTATTACTAGTATATTTCTTAGTAAGATAAATTTTACTGACAGTCTATTTCTGGATTACTAAAAACATAATGAAATTGACTAGAATTTATATAAAAAAACTAGAAGATTCTCTCCATACATAGAGAACTATTTTCGAATAATTTAATTTCTTCGTGAGAAACCAAGATATTACTTCGTCATACTTAGAAATTTTGATTTTACATTGGCCTTAAAACTTCCGTCGAATTTGAAAAATTAATGGAGAATCTTGAGATATATACACTTATAAGTGTATATATAGGTCTTTAATGCTACGACTGTTTAACTTTTAAACTGATTAAAAAATTAAAGCCTTAAATGGATAAAGTAAGTAGGATCAAAGAACAATAACCTGTTATGGTGTTACCCTTTGAGAGTGATGCTTCAAATTTGACAGTACTTGTAAAGTTAATGTAGCATCAAAATCTCGTCTCGGAGTAGTAATTGTTTAAATATTTCGCATTTGTAACGTCGCGTATCCGAGTTATTCCCGGATGCATTGCAAGAGGAGAAACTCAGCGACGGAATTATTATTCAAACTAACCAAATGGGCAAGAAAAACGAGAAGGCAAATCCTTCCTGTGTTGAGCTAACGAATATACCATCCTGGCAGAATGTAAACCGTATTGTAACGGTCATGCATGCTCTTCACAGATAACATAGAAACGAGAGAATAGCCGCGCGGCGGGATACTGAAAAAAACGGCAGCAACACCGAAAGAAAATATCAGAAAACATCGCTTTTTTCGGAAGTGCTTTCAACGTATTTAAAAGTCCATATCGTACTGTAAAAACCGCGCGACGATTTTAACGAACCCATTGAATCTCACGCTCGCGAGCCGAAACACACAGTGAAGTGTGTGCATAGAGAACGCATCTGAGCGTATCTAAACGGAAAAATATATTGCGTGAACAGATAATAAAAAAGAACTCTGCCCCCTTTAGTAGTCGCATCCGGCGACGATAATAAACACACGAAAAATCGCGAAACATCGTCTCGATAGTTCTGCGCGCGTGTTGGGCAAACAACAAAATATAAGTCCAAGAACGTCCATCTTTCAGAAGCGGCTGAATACTTTGGAATCACGAGTGATCTGGATTCGGTCGGAATTTACATATGTGAAATATTTATTATAGACTTTACTACAGAACTCGCGTTACGCTTGCGCCACTGATCGATTCGGATAATCGCGTTTCGCGGCGTCCACCGGACCCGCTTCGTTCCGCAACCACTCTCGAGGCAACTCTCGAACAACCCGTTCGATTACAACGACACGAATATGTCAAAACCGATAATGTCGGGCTTAACCGGCATCTGCTTCTTAAATAGAAGGCTACCCGGCGGTCGCCGGGATGAAATATGATAGTCGTTGCTCGCGCCACGCCCAGTTTATCATATTTCTTGAAGTGCATTATCATAATAGCATCGTGCATGAGATCGGCCGCGTCGTTCCGCCGATGACACGGCGCGTCGCGCGGAGAGATCGATGCGACCAGCGTGGAGCATCGGCGGCGCCTACCCGACGGAATTCAAGAGCAAACGAGCCTCGTCTGTACTTAACCCTTAGCCACACCGATGGCAGCTCTTTAAGGGTCGAACAGTGCGGACTCTTTTTGCCGAGTTCTTGCGCGCGGATCACTACGTATACTTACGCGCGCAGTAAAATACGCGTTATTTCAATGACGCTCATCATCGAGCATCACAGATGGCACCGATAGTGATTGTTATATTGGGATGACGTTCCTTGATGTGTCGCTTCATATGTACAGAAAATTGTTTCTTAAAAACGTAGACGTTTAGAATAAGCTGCGTATTGTTGTAGCAAGGATGGAGTTGTATTAATAAGAGAGAGCAATAGAAAGAGTAAGGTAAAGATACATACCAATGTCTGAACACTGAAAACACTGGTATCTAACTTTGGATGTTCTTATTGTTTTGATTTTTAAATGCGAATATTTAAATTTTCAACGTAAAATATAACTGCCTGCCGTTGTGTATTTGTGCATTAGGTCGAACCAAAAAGCTCTCTAACATTTTGCAAATAAACGTACACATTTTTAGTTGTTAATTAAAGAAGATCGATGCATTATCGTGCATTAACCTTCTTTGATGAATGACTCAAAGTTTTACGTGGTTATTTACGAGATGATAGAGAAATTTTGTGCTCAATTAATGAGTTCTATCTGCACACAATTTTGATACTTTGATATATGACTAATAGGAATAGTTGGTATATTTTTTTGTATTAACATTGGAAACGACTGACGGAATATCGTTCTGTTCTACGTTTACCTATCGTTCAACTGCATAAATGAAAATCAAACTGGCACTAATGATAGTAAATACAGTCTTTTACGGCTGCGTTAAATACAGCCTTTTTTGTGTGGCTACATTAAACACAGTTTCTACAGGACGCGATTTGTCTGGAGCAATTATTTTGAATATTATGCGGAACGGTCGTTATGAATATTAAAATCGTGCTAGAACTCTGGCCACTAAATATTACATCGCGTTACGAAGCCACAACAACATGTATGTACATGCTCTCCGATGGCATCAATATTTAAGGGTTCGCTGCATAATGAGGATGTGCTAAATGTGAGGTTTCTTCACCGCTTCCGTTACATCGAAGCTCTACTCTCGCAAAGCCCTTGTAAACATTCAAACTCCGCTAAAGACTACTTATGAAAACTTTCGCGACAATCGTGACATATCCGCGTTACGATAGACTACGTTTAAAGTAGAACGTTCCATACTTAAAACCAACTAATAACGTGTGCTATTTTTCTACGTGAAAAAGAAACTGCATAAAGAAAAGAACGAAAAATGAAAGAAAAATCGTCGTCTATTATTATTTAACTGTCGTATCGCGTTAGCTTTCTACATGCGTTTCGCGCACGTTACAAATTTCAATTTGCAAACTAAGTAAAAGTAAACCTTTAGACAACTCCAATTGAAAATTCGAAGAATTTTCATTCGCATAATGCTCCTTATATTCACGATATATTAATGAGCGAAACGAGAGATGCACGTAGAACGACATCGAAGCCAAAGGACGATATTGCGCATAAGGATTAGATCTACCAACGCGTCCGGTGGATTTACAGTGACGAAAGAGCGGACAGGGAAAAGAAAAAGTCAGCTACCTCTGCGATGCAGAGCGCGTCGGTATAAGAAAGATACACGAGGGCGACAGAGGTAGTGCAGGTGGGGATTTAATCAACTTTCCTTTTTGTCTCGTAAATCTTCGTAAACGCGAGATCCTCTCCCGTGCGAGAATCGCCCTCTCGATTTTTTATCGGACGCTCGCAGACCCGATGCGTGTTCTTTTTAAAATCCCTACCGTTCTAATACTTCTCTCTCTCTCTCTCTCTCTCTATCTCTCTCTCTCTCTCTCTCTCTTTTCTTCTTATTATTTTATTATTACATCTTGATGTGTTTCTAAAAACGAGATTGCGGTCATTGCACTTGAAACGTAGAGAGAAAACTCGTTCTTAGCAGTATATCCTACGCCAGGTACATTATAAATATTAAGTAGAGAAGTGCGCACGTGTTGCATAATGGAGTTGGACGTTAATCTCAGGTCTAATTAAGTCGTATGGTAATTCAAGAATGGTCAAGTCGCTATTTTTCAGTCGCTTTTTCAGTCGCTCGGGTCGATTGATTCATTCTGAGTATTTGCGTATAGCTCTGTCTAAAGCGGATAGTACTAAGCTCTCGCGCTATATTTTGCGCTCATTTTGGGACTATAGAATTATCATTGTCAGAAAATGCAATTTAATTTACTCTTTAACACTCAATATTTAATGAAAATGTCTAAAATATCTAATGAAATCACTAATGTTTTTGCTTGAAATAAAAAAGAAATGTAATTTTAAATCTCTCTCTCTCTCTCTCTCTCTCTCTCTCTCTCTCTCTCTTTCTTTCTTTCGTACCAAATACGACGTGAGTAATCGATCATAGTGGTTATTTAATTCGATCCTTTCGTTTATTTTCAGCATCGAAGACGAATATGGTGATAACTATCGAGCCACGTAATGAAACGGCCGTGCGGATCGGCAACAGTTTGCAGATTATATGTCGGGTTCCACGACAGATTCACGTTTGCCGCGTGGAAATACCCGGCGAGGCAAATGCTATCCTCTTATCTCCAGGACAACCAGCGGAAGACGGCATCGAGTATTACGGCGAAGGTTTCGAAAGAGGTCACTGCGGCGTCAAAATCGCTAAAGTGAAGGACACCAACGACGGTCTCTTCAAGTGTTCCGTGGCAACGACCGATTCTCGGCAGGAGATTACCGCGTCTCTAAATATCATCGTCGCGAGTGAGTCATCATGTTCTCCATATTGATTTTAAAGCACGACGGGATTGTTCTTAAACACGAACTCGACACGGAGATCGCAGTAACAGTCGGTTTATTTTATTACATGTAGCATTTAAAAGCGACCGCAATGAGAACGCTGTTAGCACATATAGCGTGAGATAAGAAAAATAGAACGCGATAGTCTTTTATAATTTTATTCTTTCAAGATGACGAGAAAAAGGAGAAACATCAATTAGAACAAAAAGTTAAAAGACGCTTGTACTAGTTCGCCAATAGCTGTATATTCGAAAAGTAATTAATCTTCCTTAAGGAAATTGCTTACGGAGACTCTGAAATAAGCGCCCGGCGGGTTATCGTTCAAGATGAACCCGATAAAGATAAATGGCGAGCATCATGAATATCTCGAGAGAGAGCCTTCTGCCACCTTTCCGTGGAAGCATATTGAAAAAAAAATCAATTTTAGCCCACCGACTGTGACGCGAGCTCGAATGATACAAATGATGAGATGCAGATAAAGACACGCGGTAGAAATGTCGCAGTGGTTGCATCAATGACTTCGATTTAATCCGATTTATCTGTATATCACGGGGCGACCCAAAGGAATATCTTTACTTGAATTTTTCAGAACCACCAACGAACATTATTCTTAGCGTGATGAATCTTAATCATGGCGGACAGTCATTCCGCGACGGACAGAAGATTCTAGTGAGCTGTAACGTTACATATGGACGACCCGCGCCGAACATATCCATATATCTCGGTACAGTATTTATAATTTTAAGTAATTTAAATTTTAAATTAACTTTAACGTTATAGTTTATCGCAAAAAGTAATTAAAAAATATTGAATAATTGTCTCGCGCGAAAAGAACGACATTTTTCCGAAACTCGAGTATCGTAGATTACTTTATTTCGTAAAGATTGCGAAGATTAAAATTGGAGCGAGTCGCAAAGAACAATTTGAAGACTGAGCAAAAGACTAAGATCAATCGCTCATCAGAAATACAATATGTCAGACGATATTGTGAAAATCAGCTAATATCACGGGCTTTCAAAGCTTTGTATCCTCAAATTAATAACACGTTTATTAATTTCGTTGTAAAAGGATAGAATCAATAAGCAATATTGTGAATACAGAGAAAAATGAAAAATGCGCTCTCTTGAATATCTCGATAAACATCATCGAATATAATATGCAAAACAAAGTGCGAATAAAGATATGCGTATAAGATATAGTAAAGCGGAAGAGATAGGAAAATAAGATGCTGTTTTTTTCTTTTAAAATCTAGATAACGAGCTGTTGGATAACAAGTACGTGTACGATTCCGTAGAAGACAATGATATGAAGAATGTCACGCGTGATTTGCAATGGTCGGACAACGGAAAAACGTTACGATGCGTAGCCAATCACATCGCTCTCGATAAGCCCTTGGAAACTACTAAGACGCTGAATGTATTGTGTGAGTTACCGATTTCTCGTTTCTTAGCTCGTCACATCGTTTCGTCGACTATATCGCGAAAATTTCATTTTATTTCTCTGTTCTTTTTCCTTTTAATTCTACACTCAATTTTATCCCCTTTTCGTCTTAATTCTTATCTCGAAATTTATAAAACTCTATCTGTACAACAAATTCCCACACTTTGGTTAATAAAATCTATATCTACTTAATAACAGAATGTTGAAAGCACATTAAAAGTAGGAATTGCGAACGATAATTTTTCCTTTTCTTTCACAAATGCGCCGGGAACTTAGAAATTCTACATTTTCCGTGCAGTTCCACCACAAGCACAAAAAAATATCGAGCGATTCGGATACGAGATTGGCAGACGGGGCATCGTCAACGCTACCATTTATGCGAATCCCAAACCGCATTTCGTGTGGCGAATAGGCAACAAAGAGATCATCGCGGGTAACACCGACGAGGACAATCGATTGCAGACTTCAACCGCGTTAGACATCGTAAGTTTGTTTTATTGCGAGAACCTAATCTTTCACGTTTTTTTTTCTTCCTGTTTAATATAATTTATATTCATGGACTCTCGGATGTGATCGATGAGTTAAGTTAAGGACAATTTAATAAGTCACACGCGGGACAACACGATATTATTGAGGCGCAGAAATCCAGGAGCTTTTACATTTAGCCTTTCCATTCGGACGGTAGAAATTCATTAGAGAACACATCGCTACTATTGATTCCCGCATTTCACCGTTCACCCCGCTAAAGCGATTGTCGGCGGACCAACGTGTCGCGACGAGGGAAGTACGAGGTGCATTTGGCGACTCGATTCGGCGGAATGTAGAGCCCAAAGCGCGTCCGGGCCGTTTAGGCTCGAGAGTCAGTAACAGATAAAACGTAGAAACGGAGAAAGAACGGGTGTCGGCTAAGAAATAATTGGCGATGAAAAGGGAGAGCAACCGGATTGGTGGAAGCAAATGAAACAGAAATCCAATATTGCACTGCAACGCGGCGGGCCTCGATTTACCGTCCGCCCGATGCATTCTCCATGCACCTGTGTGACAGCGCCGCGCGGAGCACAGCATCGTAATGAAATTCCATTGAATTCAGACACTGCGGAATCGATCGGCGCGATCGCTCCAAGGCCCTCCAACGGAGCCGTTGTTTCTGACCCATTGTTTCGTTAACAAGAAGCGGTTTGTTCGTTCCATAGTTAAGGTTTAAATGGATTTGTCGATCTTGCAACTTGCGCTTTTTAATTAGTCCGACGAGGCCGTCGCGTCGTCGCGGCAAATAGGGATAGACAAAGGTGTTCACGTGCCGAATGCCGGCCACGTGTACCCGTTACTTCGAGAGAGAATCCATTTATTAAACTCCGGCTCGAGGGAATGAAGGGAACAAGTTCTAAAAGGTCTCATCTGCAATAGACCCGCACGGTTCACCGTACATATGTACGCAACACCTGTCCACGTTTGTTCAAAGTGCCGGAATAGCGCGTGCCAGTTTCCCACTGTCGAGGATTAAACGAAGGCACGACGAGCCCGGCTTGATCACTCGAACTTTAAAAGTCGCGAATTAGACACCTGTGGCACTTAACCGTCCGCATGATATCGCCGGGAGGAAAATCGAGAATCTTATCGTCGTTTATCGTGCGGCACCTCTACTACGTCCGCTCGTTGGACGTTTCATCGCGGCGAGAACGGTTAAATCGCACAGAGTCAGCGAACTTCCGGGTGAAAAGTCGCGAGCTTACGATCTCTCGGGCTCAGGACGAACCTCGGGAAGAGCGAGAGGAGGATCGAAACGTTAATCGAGCGGCACGCGCGGCAAACCGGCCGAGTGCATTCAATGACGCGGGCTATTCTCCGATCGAGAGTCAGAGACAGAAACAGAGAGAGAGAGAGAGAGAGACAGAGAGAGAGAAATCCCAATGGCGCCCAATGATTTCGTCGCCGGAGCTCGCGGGATCGGTGGCACGGCGGCGGGCGCAAACTTTCGGAGCGTAACACTCTGGAACAACGCCAGCGTGTGCCAGAACCAATAAAAGCCACCATTCGGCACCGGCTCCGGCTCGCGTATGAATGGCTTTCAAATAGGCTGCAGCTCGCAAGTCACAACTTGCAGCGGACCGAACGTTGCGACGCGCCGCCGTCGAATACGAATCAGCTTCCACTGAAAACGCAATTACCACCCGGAGAGGCGAAAGCTCGGAAAGGCTCGGCTTACCGCTTTTCGTTCCTATAATAGCGGTTTGCGAACAACGCGCCCGACGCGATATCGAGGGCGACCAAATGGATTTTTCCTCGATTAGAAAGGGCCGCGCGGACACAAGACGGAAAAATTTCATAAAAGAGCTGGCTGAGTTTAACACGAAAAACAAAAAACGAGAAACGTGTTTTTCTCATTTAATCGTTAAAAAAAGAAGATGACGCGCTTGACTAGGTCGACGAATGTAACAGAAATTAAGTAAATATGACTGCGCGGAGGAAAACGCGACTCTCTGTGTGTTTGCGCGGAGGGACCAGAGAGATTGCGAAATATTTCGCTGAAATTAAACAAGTGTAAGAAGAGAGTTTATCTTTGCTGCTTGTTTTTTTGGTAACTATATCACTGTAATCATCAATTTATCTCTTTAATATAGAAATTATGAGAGCCGTATGTGCTTGTGTGTGTAAAAACTCATAATTAATAGCAAAGGCCTTCAAGTAATTTATGAACGTTCCTTCAGCGACACACACACAAGCGCGCGCTTTAAAGGGCTTAACTAAAGGTTTAATTAATGAGTAATACGGCGTAGAAAATTAAGGGCGGTCCGGGACAGGATCGAATTGATGCATACTTGCTACAACATAACTATGTTTACAGGGAAATGGAGGATGGAATGTAATTTTGTCCATCAACGTCGTTCAGAAGACCGACATGGAGAAGAAGTATCAATTGGAGGCGCGCAACGAACTAGGGACGAATTTTTATGATTTTATTTTGTCGACATCCGCAGAACCATCGGGTAAGTTATTCGAGAAATTCAATTTACGCAAGTAAATTCTCTCTAGTAATATCTCTCTCTATTGGAAACGTTACACCATGCACTTAGAGATTACTTGTACATATCAAAAATAATAGAATATTTCGATATATGTGTGTGTATGTATATATATATATATATATATATATATATATTTACGATGACTCTGACAGAGCGGAGAAGAATGTGGCATTTCCGATCGACATTGCGCCAATTTTTAAGGCAAAATTTTATTCACATACCCTCTCGTTTGAACTGATTAAATTTCTGTTAAAACGGCGCACGAACAAACGCGATTGTGTCCGTTGGTTTGCGCTGTACAGGCTTAAGCTTGCCGTGAATTTTTCAATTCGCGATATCGTTTCCGTTATCCGAACGAATGAAATTCAAGCTTGGCGCAATTAATTATATAGTGGTTGCTCCGTATGTGTGTATATCGTGCTCGATCGAGGATTATATAACATTCAATTCGTTGATCTCCGATGTGTGTGTGGCAAACGGATGATAAATTACACGCGAGCAATCGATACATCTCCGCGCGCTTTCTCTCTCCACATGCCTTCTTTCCCCGTCCACCCTCAACTAACATTCACACTTGGCTGTCCACCGACCCCGCCACCGTCATGATCGTAATCACAGCCGCGATCTCGCACGTAAAGTTGCCACTATCGATCGCCACCGCCGATCACACATACACGCGCGCGCGCATTCTAGTATATCCGTCCGGTTTATGTTTTGTGTGCGTGTCTAACCATATCGATCCTTCACCGCATGCTCACGCAGGACCGCTCAGTAACTTCTATGGTAAGCTCTCCGAACACATGCACGCACTAGGTAATGTCACTTTTTCAAATTATTATACGTAAGTAGTTTGCGTAGTCACGTAAGCGTGCGGCGTTCCGTGCGACGATTCCGCGCAAAGCCGGACCTGCGATGACCACTCCGGAAAATTAATAACTGTTATTTGACTAAGGGCGCGTAATACACGTCGATCACGAAAACATGTTGGACGTTGATCGAGCGATGTGCAATTTACCAATTTCCATGGTGCGCGATTGCGCGCATCGCAAAATAGTGTAGATTTCATCGATCCAGATCGGTTTGCACGTAACGCCGCGCGTGTGGTCGAGTACACGTCGCACTTTAATCATTATCTATTTTTTTTCAACGTCGATTTCGGCGGAACGTTTCGCAATTCGCAACGTTCGTGTGACGGTCTCTGACAAATTCGCAATATCTTCCTTATGAAGATATCGAGGAAATAATCATCGTTTTTTTCTGGAATTTTCTGAAATTTCTATTTTTCTTATTTTAGAAATCAAATCTCTAATTAGAATCAGATGGAAGTTTATTCGATGTTCAGTGGAAGAGAAAAATGATATTTGAAACCTTGATATTTCAACTAAAGCGGTTTCGAATCGATCCAAGAATGACATCGGTTGCGTTCAGCAGAGACAGCTACTTTGCGACCTCTGTAAAATTCGTGAATCCGATTGGTGTATGCTCTCAATCTCGGCTGAATCTAAGAGCATACACCAATCACATTCATGAATTTTACAACAATAGCAAAACAACTTTCTCTGCTTGGGAGAAAAATCAGTTGTATATATGCCGCCTCGCCTAATAATCAATATTCATTATGTATCTAACGCGATAAATATCTGCGACACGTTTATATAAATATCAGTGTCTTGGAATTTGGATATTTAAGTGATTTGCGAGAGTGGAAGAGAGCAAAAAGCTCGCAAGCTCTTCTATACGCCGCGTTTTCTTCCTTCTCGTGCCAAAAGTACTTACTCATTTGTGTTGATCCAAGACACTGATAACACGACACGTACCAGCGACTATGATAACGAGAGACAATCTTTTTTTACACGATTTACAGGCGTTGATTTGGACGCTGGATCCATCATCGGTATCGTCGTGGGCGTCATGGTGCTCGTACTCATTATTTTCCTCGTAATCTTTGCACGTGCGACCGGCCGCTGGTGTTTTGCAGGTGAGTCTATTTGAAAATGCACACTCGATACAAAAGCCCCCTTTTTAGATTACACGCCACGTATTACAATGCCAGCCTCCCTTTATTATCTTATTTTTTTCTTTCGTTCTCTCTAAAAATTTGGTTGCGCGGAAACGGTCGGAAACACTGTAAAACTTGGGTAGAAGACGTTGCTTGCGCAGGACGACTAACTTCTTGGAGAGAGTTAAAAGCAAGCTCGTTAAAGTTATCGGAACAGTATATAGCTAATTATAGAAAATGAAGTCGGTCAGTTGAGATGGTTGGGACAAGGTAAATTTTGTATTACCAGATGAGATATCGGCTACGATGTAAATGAAGGAAAAAAAGAAACGACATGATTTGTTTAAACATTTTCTTCAATCAACGTAACGGATGTCTCACGTCAAAAATTTACTTTGCACCAATTTTTCCTTATTCTCCGATCTAGTTCCTATTTTTATATAAACTCCGATTAAAAAAATCTCCAAGCGTAAATAAAGTTTAGTAAATAATAGAAAAGCTCAAATATATATAGTATATACTTAATCACTTTATAGTATATATTTAATCACATTATAGTATATACTTAATCAGATTTTGAATAATTCGATTAAATCTAATTTGTGCCATAAAGTCGGGTCGCTGATATGGATAAGCAGAAAAGGAGAAAATCTGTCATTGTTTTCTACTCATTCCATGTTTTCATCCACGCAAGGGTCTACGACTTTTAACTCACTATAGTTTTAATCTGATTATTCAAACGAAATATCGGTTAAGTTTTTAGCGATTTACTGGAAGCTACGACTCGATCAGAGAAAAAGAATCCTTCATTTATCCGACTCGCGAGCGTATGTAATAAACGGAGAAAATGCATTTCTGACGCATCACATATGATATACGATTGCGACGGGTTATCGTGAGTGACGTAAAGGAGGTTTCAACGTTTCAAGATATTTTTGCGAAAAATGCAGAAAGAGCGGATAAAACAATTGCGCTGATCGACATAAAAAAAGTTGCAAGTTTTGCGATAATACAATTGTCTATCACAACACTCATCACCTTTTCCTCGTTGTGATTGTCGTTGTCGCTGTTGTTTGTCGTAACTATTGTTTTTCGTTAATGTTGCGTTACGATCGCGGTGCAGTGTCTGGCAGTACACGATTAGCCTAAACGCGAGATAATTATCGCGCGGTAGTACAGTGTATGCGCGCAGTAGAAGTGTGTGTGTGTGTGTGTGTGTATATATATATATATATATATATATACATACACACACATACACACACACACCTTCGGGTTTAATTAGTGCGCTCTCCGAGAATCAGCTCTGTAATGCTCTGTTACCGTACTTTATACATACGTATATATATACATAAGTATATACATATACGTGTATATATATACATCTATTTATATATATGAATATACTTTTATCTCTCTGAACGTATACAAATGTCTTATGTGTTGTGCCGCTACCGATAGGACAGCATGCGAGTCGGGCCAAGTAAAGAATACGGAGATACAACAACGATTACCTTGATTCCGTACTCTAGGCATGACACTGTCCAGGGGTAAGTCACCTCAGGCAGCAAAAAATACCCCTTCTAAAATATAATGCTCGTTCTCGTTCATCATCGATCCACCCGCCCGCCCGTCCGTCCGTCCGTCCGTCCGTCTGCCCGCTCGTCACCTTTTTCTGGGACCATTTTTATCAGCTACGGCACCCTCTCTCGCCTATGCGCCATCATCTTCAGCAACCGGCTTATCAACGACCGCGACCGTTTTACCCGGAGTTCGAGAGCGTTGCAGAAACGCCGGAGCGTGTCCCTCGCTTCAAATTTAATACACTTTCCGCCTAGCTCTTCTCCTCCCCCGACGCGAGCCCAACGTATTCTCGAATTTTTACGCCGCACCATCATTTTTATTTGGCACGTGTCGATACGTAACCGTTTATCGATTTATGGCCTAGCGTTTTATATCGGCGCGATAAACATCCCGCTTCTCTCCTCGATTAATCGACCCGTTCTCCGCCGCGTTCTCGCTTTCGTTCGTCGCTTTTTCGTAGTTTCGCACGCGCGTTTTTTGCCCGTGTTTCTAAGATGCGCCGTCTTATGGCTATTTTTAGCATGAAATCGTGCGCTGTCTGTACTTAAAAAGAGGAAAAAATGATACGCACAACTGATATGATGAAGCAGATATAGCAAAAATGTTTCTTGAAGGAAAGGGGACAATTTGACATTTTCGCGACAGAAAATCGAAGCGGATAAAACCACTTTAGCACTTTAGACGCTTGAAAATTCAATTTCTTTTAGCACGAGAGAGAGAAAGAGAGACATATTTTGAATTTTATGTTACATTATATTCTTATAACAGAGATCACTCTTTCTCTCTCGCAGTGAAGTAACAACTATTGTACGTAAAATCGAGCAATCCTGTAAAAACCGCGGAGAGTGCAAAGTTTAACGGTGAAACTTTCTATGGCCAACACTATCTCGGGCAATTAAAAACGTCTGCTCGATAAAATTATTCTCCCGATAATTCACATTACATAATTACTGCTTCGCGGGAACGTACATATTCATACATATGTATAAACATCTCAATGAATCCTAAAAAGTAAATTTAGTATTCGGACATCTTCGTGCATTTTTGTGATAATTACTTCGTTTCGTGCAGTACGTTGATAAACGAATTAACGTGTAAACATAAAGAATAGGGATATAGAAATGAAACACATACGCGCGATCCAAGCTGGGAGTAATGGTCTCTCATTCTGATTACATAATTTATTTATGAAACGCAAATAAAATTTGGTGACGAAATTAGTAATGAAAATTATCTGATACATTTTATTAGCTAATTTTGCTTCGAGAAAGAGGATCGGAAATAAATTTTACTTGAAAGGTGCGTAAACATGAACGTAGCAAAGTATGCAAAATAATTTTCGTAAACGTGATCGTAAGACGTATTTCGAATTTTGGGCCTTTCCGCACCCACCTGGTCGCGATACGCTACGTGACTGGATGAATTTCGATTGCTACCCACGTCTCTCGACGTTGAAATCAAATCGACGATCATTACTTCCCACTGGAATAGCGCCTGACGCACAATCACGTCACCGAACTTCATTGCATGTCGATAGAACCTGCTCCGTAGTCACTTAACAATAATTTAAGCATACTTATTGCGACACGTTCACAATATCGTCTCCTGTGTCTCTCGTGCAAGTCTTACAGCCTGTTTACACCATGTCAATCACGACGCCGTGCACGATACCGTCGAGATCACGGCTTAAAATCATTCTTTATGTACGTCACGTAACAGCTGATGATAACTGACATCTTATCATTACTTATGATACAATATTACGTTTATAGAAACGATAAAGTATCACAATCTGGCGAACGTGCAATACGTGCAACAACAAACAACAATTTTCACACGAATCGATCTCGTGCGATGTCGTGCGGATAGTGTAAAGACGCTGTAAGCCTCCGAAGATACAGTATAAAAGAACATAGCGTTTTCTTTTGTGTTTCTTTTTCTTCTCGCAACAAGCAACGATGAGCAATCGGCAAAGGCAAGTGTGGTAAAATTGTTCTGAGCAGAAACGACCGGTCCGCTGGATATGATTACCCTCTCCGCCTGCTTTCGGCGCTGCCCGTCGCCGTTTAATGTTCTTTGGTTCGTTAACAAGTACGATCTCGAACTGCGAATTTTCTTTGCTCGATTCCGATCGTACAAGCATGTTTGTCACCTGAGATCCCACCGACCCCCGGCTCTTTTACTTTACTTAAATCCCGAACGCAGATTGAGTGTGTATTCTTTTTGTTAGCTAGGTGATTAGCGTTTTAACAGCAACAGCAGCAACAGCATCGTGTTCTATTCTTTCTGTCTACTCGAATTTATCTTGCTTGAAACGAAATTTACGTTTAGTGCAATGGCCTGCCTGTGAATGTTACGACAATCAGTTTCTTTCTGATGTTTGTCATAATTCGTACTTTTTATACAACGCACGAGCGATGTAAATCTGAGAATGCTCCATGTATATACTCTCATCCGACGGGAACGTCAGTAGCATAGACGATCGAGTGTGCATCGACGCACCTTTTATTTCGGGCACACGACATTCACACTGTACATTGCCGTTACACTTGAGCAATACCCGTTCATTGATAATGCCGTGCGCGTAATAAGGATAAATGTGTCTGGTATGTTTGTGTTATAAATAATTACACATTGATCGCATAATGGAGACGTGAACTTTATCGCGCACAAGTACGTAAGAGCACGACTGACATAACGATCTTGATATGACGAGTTCTTGATTCCCTCGACTAGAGAAACGGATATTGAATTAAGTCACTCGAAATATAATTGTCCTACACTCTCGAGGAGTACTAATGTAAAGAATTCTTTAATTAACGTCATACTTGTGGTATCATTTCGCGGAGAGAGAAAATCTTTTGTCGCAAGACGTAACTCACACCGCTCGTACGATTCGCGAGAAATATCGTGCGCAAACAGAAAGACGTCCGATAGTATCGATTCATCGACAAGATAAACGGTAGTCGAGACAAGTGTATCGAACGGTGAATTCGCGCACAAAGAGATCGTATAGGAAACAGAAAGGAAAAGAGAGAGAGAGAGAAAGGGAGAGAAGGAGGAAAAAGAAAGAGAGAAAAAGATAGAAAGAGAATCCACACACGCACATTTGCCTTGACCGATCGTGGCGTTGCTTGTTGCAGCGAGACGTCGCGGCGATGAGGAGACTGGGGGTGACGTCGGCGCCGGAAGCGAGGCGCACATTACGCCCAGCGACGAGGATGAGGAGGATCACGAGGACCCGCGTATCATCGACGAGAAAATACCGCAAGGAGGCCAAGAGAATCCGATACACGCGAGCACCGAATACGTGAACGGCCGTACGGACATTAAAGACGCCAAGAAGGACGAGAAGACGGACACGCCCGTTTAAAAGAAAGAAATTCGGGCGTTTTCACGCACTTTCCTACACCGTCTCTTCTGATTCTTCTTCTATTTCTCCTACGCGCGGGAAAAAACCGAGCTGTCACGATTTCCTCACGTTACATCGGGCTTCAGCACAGTAACGACCCAAAGTTTCCCTCCGATTTTCGTATTTACGAGCGAGACGCGCGCAGAACGTTTTACACGCTATTTATCTCGCATTTCGTTCGCAGCAAGACGAATTGTTTCTGTACAAGACGAATTACGTAAGAATAGAAGCGCATTTAAAACTTTTTTTCCGATAAAATAGATAGATAGATAGACGTCACGCGCGTTTCGCTGAACCGCGCCTAAAACTAGCATACGATGCACGATTTCATATCTTCTGATACGTATGTCACGTTGTAAGTATACAAGGCTCCAATAATGTCTTCCATTTTCGGTTAGGATATTTTGGTTCAGACGCATTGTATCTACATATTTTTGTATCATGACTATTGGTTTTAAGAAGAATCAACCGCATCAAATGTAACAAACGGTTATATACACGATGAATGCATATATGCACTATTACTGTTGCATCTAATGTAACTGAGTTGTCAATTGTTCACAAAACCAACAGTCATATATAATAATATAAAATATAATATACAAAAATATGCAGGATACGCTCGAGCTAAAATACTCTAACCGGAAATAGAAAACATGATGTCCTGTGCAGTTCAGTTCACTGCAGGAATTGCTACCATACATTGGGCAATCTATGTTCTGAATTGAACTGTCTATAGCGTACCAGTCCGCATGCATGTCAAAAGGGATAAAATCGTGCATTGTGTGACACCGGTTTCAGAGTATCGATCATGCATCTTTTTCCTAGTGTGCAAAGTGAAAAGTTTCACGTGAAAATGTTCATCCTTTCATTGTTCAAAAAATTGTATGATCGCAAAAGTCGTCGAGTTCACGTAAAACTGTTCGTTTTTCACGTTTTCGATTTTAGGAAAAAGTTACATGATCGCTACCTAGAGACGAACTGCGTTCTGCTAGCGCGTCGCGTTCGCATTATTCTTCGACAGCAGTTGATTCAAAAACGACGGCAGTCTTCAAAAACGACCATAGGTGTTCGCGTCGGTTAAGCTCGATTCTCAGCCCGTCGACATTCGGCTACGACGCATCGAATCTCCCCTTCGTCGGCCAGTGAAGATACTGTTCAATAGATCTGGCTTTCTTTTTATTTCTTCTTTGATAGACAGATTTTCGCGAGCCGACAGGGCGAATTAAGTTTTAGTCGCGATTTGTTTTTGAATAAAATTAACGATTTTAATGGATTTTTTAACAGCGTTAAACACATAATTTAAAAAATACTCAATATTTTAAACGTAGAACTTCCTCTTAAGAGAAGCAGAGATCTGATGCGTAGAAACGCGAATCTCAATTTTTTTATATGGATCTATGAGTGTGTCCGATCGGGAGATTTTTGCCGCGATACGCTCGCTACTGGACAGAAGACACATGTGGTTCCCATGGTGGACTTAGCGATGATTATAAAGTAGTTATTACAAATTTCTGGGGACGCGCCTTTTGTCCCCATTGACAGCCACGATAGGCATCCTCACGACGAACCGAACAAATCAAATTGTGCAACCGATCTTTTTATAAACAAGACACACGAGACGACACACGTTCGTTTACGCGCGACGAGACATTACGCGTGCACGCGCGCACGTGGGGATTTGCGCGAGTCGCGAGAGGGAAAATGTTTCTCCGCTTCTACCGGATCAGGTCCCACACCCCACGTAAATTTCACGATATTCGGGCGAATGCATTCGTGCAAGGAACGACGTGGGCGCGTACCATTAACGCTAAGGCAAAGGAACACATTCCGCGATAAGATATTTCTTTCTCAATTGTAAGTAGGAATGTTTTTGTGAACGTAAATCTTTGTGAAATCTATCTCTATTACTGTGATCGTAATGTTTTTCGGTTTCGTGCGTGTTGTAACAACGCGTTTTCCGCGTTAACTTTCGAGGCAATTAGATTATCGAGTCCCGGTGAAAATTTCTAGGAGTTTCAACACAGTTGATCGCGACACGCACTTATTTGAATGAATTGACCGGGTTTTAATGCGTGCTCATACAATAGTTACCGCGGTATCAAAACAGAATATGCAACCGAACAACGAGAACAATTGCCATGCATATATGAGTGGAAGGAAGATTTTTACGAAATTTCGAACGACGTTTCCATCGAAGGTGCGGTCGCGTTTCCGTATTATTAACCACAACTACAAATTTTTCCATGCCTTTTGTACTGTAACATTTTTACGAACGCTGTAACATTCCCGAAGTGCGTTTTACTTACGTGCGTTTTATCGGAGAGTGAGAACTTTTTACACATAAGTTACATATATATAAATAAATATATGTATAGTACAATAAGATCATTGCGCGGACGTACGGAATGTTGCGTAAGTTCCTAAACAGGGTTACAACGTTACGCATTGTTCACCTAATTCCAAAGAGTTCGATGCTAAGGATACGTACACGCAGGGAAGTCTGTCAACCGGTTCAAACGATATATTGATTATTCCGAAATACGAGTTCAATTAGGCATTCGAAATTTTTTTTTTTCTTTTTTCTTTGTATGATATTGCCCACCCCATTTCCTTGTTTTCCCGACTTACGCAACTTACGAAACATACTGTATATATAATTGTAGCGACTAAATGTCCGTAGAGGGACGTTTCGATAATCTGTATTAAATACAACTTTATAAGATATGAATTGCATTCAGAGAATCTCATTTACGAAACGATATATAGATGTGTAATGATTATTCCGTTTTATAAGAAAACAGAGCAATTTTATAATAGCGTCTTAGTATGACAAATACGCTCGATCAGACCGATTGAGAGACGTAAAAAATCGAGCACTGATAAGATTTATATAATATTCTTGCGACATAAAGGATGTGTGTTTTAAAACTATCATACGATATATTAACAGCTCATTCCGTAGCTTAATTAGAATCGAAAATCGTCGAAACATATAAGTACAATTGTAAGCGTGTAAAATTACGCGGCCATATGAATTAGTTACTATGGGATCTCGACGCTTTTTTATATTAACTGACTCTAATCAATCTGCAGAGTATATAATCGTTCTCTTGAGTCAATATTCATAGTTGTGTGAATTATATACAATATTCCATTGAGAAAATACTTAATTCTAAATTCGTATTCATATATCTATATTCAACTGTTCTAATTAATATTACTTGTATAAAATATATTGATGAATAATTAGTAGACTATGAATATCGGCTTTAGTCTTCTTATTAAAAATCAGTGCGACTTATGTTTACACATGCATTATATAAAATATTCTATGAGTGTTGAAATTCAACACTCACCGTTTTCTGTTGAAGTCCAGCAAAGTCCATTCAAGATCGTGTCTGAGTCGAAATCTTATTTCTAACCAAGCAAATTCCATGGAATTTGAAAGACTAGTGAATAATCTCAAAATATAACATTTTTCAAGCTATTATCCTTTGATGGTATATATGCTACTTTATTGACTGCCGTTTTCTCCATATTGAAGCTTAGATAAGGATTTATTTAAGAATTATTTAATATTTAATTGTCTCGATATTCTTTACCTGCATTTTATTTTTATTCTTAATTTTAACAAACAATTTGTTAATTGTGTAACTTAACTGCAGATAGAATATATAAAATAAGCAAATATTACTTATTTTAATAAAAATTAGTAAATAAATACATAACTCTTTAAAAGAGACAATATTTTTTCCCATAATTAATTTATTATTTCTTTTCTTGACGTAGAAAATTGGTATAATTTGAAAATTCAAAAGAACACACACAAGAAAAAGAAAATTATTAAATTTAAAATAAAATTTGCAGTTCAAGAAGTACTATTAACATATTGACTGCCGTCTAATTTCTATTGATTGTATAAAAGCTTAACTAATGATTAAATTATATCAAGTGTACAGTACATTAATGCAATTTGAGACATATGTATAATTTATCTCGTTTCAATATTTCTATTAGTCATACAACCACTTTTTCAAATTAATTGTATTTTATATGTAATGTGTGTGTAACGAGAAAGATGTGTGGTCCCAGTGAACACCAACTACATTCTATCAGACAAAAATATCTAAATATTTATTTGGTATTTTGGATTTATTTGGATACTAACAGTATATTCACTTAAATCTAAATTCTTTTATTTAAATAAAATAAATAATTACTTTAATTAACTAAGATTTTCCTGATGTTTTAAGAAAATGCATTCTTTTTTTCAAAAATATCTTATGTTAATATGAGTAAATATATTTTTTTGTAATACCCACCAACTAAATATTTACTATTCCTTAGATATTTTTTCTCTCAGTATAACAGTGACATTACATCAATGTATAATTTACCATTCAAGAATGCAATTGTTACATAGCACAAGTATTGTATCACAATTTACATTGTTGAATGAGAAATGATAATATTGATATGACGTAGCTAATGGTTGGTATTTACTGGGATGCTATTATAATACTGGTTACCTATGATAGTCATAACAATCAACATCAATCTGTTAATGGCAGTCAGACTCACAGTAAATCCTAAATTTCGACTCAGGCACCAAATTTGTTACTGCATCCCCTAACGGAACTACGTTCCATATTCAGCATTCCGTAGCGACCACGGATTCCGTCGTATACATCGTTGACCGCATATCGCTTTCACTACACTCGCGACGCGATTTGATTTTAACGATTTGAACGTTTTACAAACATTCTTTATTGTTTCTTCAAAAAAAAATTATAAAGTCGATTAACGTAAGAAACAGAATCGATATTTAAACGATACGATCGAGTTTCTGGCACATTGGAACACTCACGTTACGAAATGTTTCGGGAAATTCTTACTCGCGAATTCTTGTATATTGAAGATCGACTGCGACATTGAACGATATCAAACACGAACCAATGGCAAGTGACGTGTATCTCTAACGTACGATGGTTAGGCGCGATATCTCAACAAAAGTTACCTGTAAAGATTTCGCGAACACTGTCGCTTAATGTGTCAGTGTCAATTTCACTTTAATGTTTCTTTGCGTTTGCTTTAACGAAATTCAAACTCACTTCAAACGAAAACACGACCGAGAATAAGAAATCGTAAACAAGAATGACTAGACCGCCAAAACAATCATGGCGGCTCTAATATAACTTGTTTCACGCTTGGTGGCGCAACACGTGTCATACATAATATTCAAAATAATTAAAAGATCGTACTGAATGAATAAACACACTTGAATATACACTTGAATTAATTTTATAAGTTAAATCATAAATATATATATGTGAATAAATAATGAATTCATTACGTATATTAATGTTTTCACTAAAAATTCATATTAAATAAAATAATTCATATTAAATAATACTAAGCGAGATATTTAATATTTTAATTAAATTTACAGACATTTGAAAGAACGTTCCGCTAATTATCTTGAATGATATTTTATATGACAAAATATGTTGGCATGAAAAACTAGCAAAATAAGTCGCACTGATTTCAACAAAATATATTTAAGCACCCATCACCTTAAATTATCATCCATTTTTCTCACTCACCAAACATCTGCAACTCAGAGTAGACCACGTTCCGCTATGTCAAGATCTGAAACAGATGAAAGACACGACTGTATTACAATTTAGAATAGTTTAACGACCGGGTGCGTCTACAAATATGAATTAACTCTTTCGCTCATAATCCAAATTATTTCAATAGTTTTCTCTCGATTTTAAACTCAAAGAATTAATAAGAGAAATATAACGAATCTGTAAATTTACCTTCAAGCCGACTCTGCTTGGCCCGAGCCGGATCCTCCGGAATAGCATTCCCGGAATCGTATCTGCTTGTCGGCTGCAACGTCTATTTTATCTGAAACAAGAAACAATTTGTCCTGATTAATTACAGTAATCTCAAATAATAATTCGGCATAGAACATTCAAAAATACAAGAGTTTAGACTGTATTCTCTTTTAAAATTTAATAAAACTCAAGTGTGATAATCACCTAAAATCAGTTTCGCTCGGTTTTCGTTATTCACGATGATCTCGGTGTGCGAAATGTAACGCGAATACCGTATCATCACGTTAACTCTAATCGCGTAATAAAATCGAAAATAATGAGCGACACCGCTTCATGTGCTCACTCACTCACGTCCGCGACTATTATGGCCCTACGCGTGTTTGACTCAAGTACCGAGCGCGCGGAAGGTCGCGCGGACACCAACACAATACGCGATTGCGACTAGCTCATGCGGAGCGTATCGAAAGAACAATGCATTCAGTGAGATGTTCCGAATAAAATCGAATAAAATCGATTAAAATCGAAAATTGAATAAAATTGAAAATTTCAAAAATCTGACTTAGAGTTGCGCAAGAAAGTAAACTTCACTCTTCGAAAATCATGTATCAGATTTGACAATTTTCTTCAAATCAGATATAATTCTATGTCTAATTAACCAATTAAAATTGGATTAAATTAAAGTGACTAAAATAATTTGAAAAAACAGTTAAATCTATTATTGGCAATCACAACTTGCTATTATCAGTCAATCGTCATGTAAGATAAAAATATCAATTCCAGAACACGGAATGTCCTAATCCTGGACATTGTTTTAGTCTTTAAATACGAATATTTAAACTTTCAACATAGAAGATGTATGTACATACTCAATACTTGTATATATTTTATGTTGAAAGTTTATTTTAAAACTAGAACAATAAAAGAATGTCCAGGATTAGATACATGTTTAAGTATTGATACTTTTGCCTTACACACATGAAATCGCGAGGCAAAAATAACCAGGCTAAAGCACGATTGAAAATTCATGTCGACTGAGTTGCGCGCGACAGTTTTAAAAATGACAAATGACTTCGCAGTACACATGTCATTATGAGTTTGAGCGTGAATTTTACACGATAATTGCTGGCCAACTTTGCTCACAACTCGAAAACTATCGTTACCTCGTCATTTTCATGTTACGATGCTCGATATTAATTAAGATCCTAGAATGTGCCATTAAAGTATCGTATGGTAGTTTTGGAACATCCTGCATAAAAAAATTATACAACATTGACTGCCTCCGTTTGTCGTAATTTTTCTTATTCTACGTGTTTTTTATGATATATAATGCGGCTATTTGTAAGCGATATTTGCGATTATCTAATTACGCAATTTTGATACGAGAAACATGTTTCGGTTTTGAATAAAAATTCGACTCACTTTTCGCAACGACACGCGCAGCCCTGTTTCGCTTTGTTGTGGACGGCAAGTATAACTAATACACTGCACAAAAGTCGAATCATATCCAGAGCGACGACATGAGTTTCTAAGTACAATTGCGATAATCAAATCTTCGAAAGCTGTCATGTAATATTACAATTTTTTAAAAGAGATACGTATTGCGTATTATTGCACGACGAATTATTCTCGCTGTATCGAGAGTGAATCGCCGTGTGCGGTGTGTTAAGTATATTTCTCGATCAAAATGACACATATCCTACAGGATCGTCGTAAGAAATTTTTCATCAAGTTTTAAAATCAATTTTGTATTTAATGAAACGTATTGCGAAAGTTTAGGCATGATACATCTACAGATATCAGGACATGCCTAGAAATCCGATTCCTCGAGAAACTCATGACAAAATTATTATTTAATTCATTCTTCAAGGAAATCCCAGATCAATTTTTATCTGACAAAACCTGATTTCCAGGTTTAGTTAACATGATATTTACCGTTAAGAAACTCCCGAGCGACTCTCATGCTGAAAAGAGAGTACATCTCTATTCATGATAGAATGCGGTCTTACCGAGTTTGATATAAACCTTAAGAGGCTTGTATCTAGCCACATCGAGCACACTTTCTGTGGCACGTTAATGGGGCTGCGAGTGGGACTCGTTCGCGAAGTGAGTTTCGCGAATCCTTATTGTTGTTGTCTTTCGACAATAAGTATCGTTTGTACTTTCGTATCGGCAAGTTCTCCTTAGCTATCACCAAACGTAACTCTATCAATTCCCGAACACTTTGCAACACGTGCGCACACGTACACGTCACGTACACACGAACACGAACGTAGGTCTCGTCGGCATCGCGTAAAAATGACTTAGGAACCAAAGGATATGAATTCTCGCATGTACCATTGGTCGATAACATGCATTTCCGAAATCCGCACACGTACACGTACCCACAAACCTACATCTTCATCGTTTTCCCGGATGCGATCGTGTTTCCACTTACTAGAAGGCCCGTGTCGGCCGATGGATATTATCGAGGTTCTCCTCAGAGAAAAAGTGATTAAGCGAACGCAGTATATAATTATGATAGCGGTACAATCGTGCGATGCGTTCGCGAGAGGTGACGGACAAATTTCGACGGGAGAGAACATCGATTGCGGTTCGTCGGCCGACGGTCGAATCTACTGCGTGTTGTACATACTAAATATATATATAAATAAAGATATATAAATATAAAAATATAAATATAAATATATATATATATATATATTATATAAATATAACACGGTACGCGCGCGAGATCGAGGAACGGTACCGGATATATAAATATATATATATATTCTGTGTCGAAGGCACTTGGCTTGCAACTCGTGAATGCCGATCGAGTATAAGTAACTCACTTATCCATTTGCACTCCAATTGCCGTGCGACCTGTCGTTATCCGCGAATTTTTCAGGGTGAAAGATATTATCGGGCAAGAATGATATGATATTTACTTAAAGGAAGTTGACGAAACTTTGAGGGGTACGAAAGAGCGACACGTGCGAGGAGGCGTAACGGAGCGGCATGCGCGGAATTAATGGACAAGTATCGGTACTCGGAAACTGGAGCTGCTGAATGTCACAGCGTCATTCGCAACTAGACTAGACAGACGCACGTCCTACATCCGAAAACGCGAGTCTTCCTTACAGCCGCGCGGTAAAAGGAAGGAAACGTTACGTGCTCGGGGGCATTTATTCCTTGCTCTCTCTTTTCAACCGTATTCGAAGCTTTTTTATTTTCTACTCTCTATTTCTCGGTCATACACGAATGGAAAGTTTCTTCTTCTTCTGCTTGACCTCCGTCCTTCTATTTCCTAGCCGAACGCTACGGAATAGAAGCAAAAGGAAGAAAGCGATATGGGAACGATAGGTCAACAACATTGGCCGTTCTACTTCCGAGTTATCGATACATCCGCGTGTACATTGCCATTGGGAACTCCGTTCGATGAGGTCGGCACGTTGTTCGCGCCGTCACAGAGGCTGTCACTTTTCAACCCGAATATATCGATCTGTTAGTATATATAATATATAGTATAAATATATATATGTGTAATTTTTTTTATGCATTATATATGTATAATCATGGTAATATATATTATGTATACTAATGTCCGTATGTTAGTATATGTAATAGAGCCTAAACAAGAAAAAGGGGAAATCGCGCGTTTACCTAAGAGATAAAAAGAAAAAAAAGAGAAACTAGAATACGCAGAAGTCGTTTCGTCTCCGCAACACGAATGACATCGCGACGATCTTGTTGCAGCGGAAGCGAATGTTGATGCAACGCCACACAGGCGACCCAAATCTTTTATATACGCCACATGAGTATGAGCATTTTCAATTTTTAAATATTTCACAACACTCCGTAAAAAAAAAGCGGAGAAGAACAAGAGATTACGCACAGTTTTCCGGAAAAAAGAACAATGCGACGAAAGAACTGACTGAAAATGATGGATAATTCATTCAAAATCTGTCCTAGGCTAGGTGTACACTTGAGGTTCTCATTATCGAGACTTTCTCTTGAAACATGAAATTTTTGAGTCTATACAGTAACAGCGGTTGACTACTGTTGAGAGGCAAATTGGATTTTGAATCACTCTTTCGAACACTATACTTTAAATTACGATATACATCGGAATAATGAGATCTATCAAAATCTTTTATTACCCGTCGGTTAAATTTGGAAACTCAAACAGCCGAGACGTCTACACTGAGAGAAAAAAATGGTTGGCTTAAGTAAAATTACTTTTGAGCCCAACGATATTTTTTGGTTGTTCTAACACGAAAAGTAACAACATGCATTTAAGGTTATGATTACTAACATTATAGTACGATTTAATTAAAAAATAGTTTTCTTGGCCATACTTTGTAGTAATTATTACTCTATATTATTACTCTATAAATATTAAATAATAATAATATTACTTTGTAGTAATTATTACTCTATATGAATATAGTTACAAATATCTTTTTCTCAGTGTGGAAAAAATAGAAGAGTGAAAATGATTTTTAGTTTTAATGACAATTTTCGACTTGAATCAGGTTATAATCTAGAATTTGTCTAAGAGAAGATTTTCGACTTGAATCAGCCTGTCAATTTTATTCAGCCGCTCTTATTGCGCTTAGAGAGCTATTGTAGTGTAACTGTTTCCATATGAAACTCACGAGATTAAGTCGGCTCGAACAGGTCCAGAGAGACGATAGCAAAAACAACGTCGAAGATCACTGCCAAAATACGTGAACCGATATATAAGATTTTTTGTCATATTAAATGCCATAAGAAAGAGAAATAGAGAAAAAGAAAGAGAATATCGCGTACACCCTTCGTCTTAACTGTAAGTTACAAAGTAACATTTCTATTCGCTAAGAATGACTATTCAAACCGTAAGATCTGCGCTTTTCTAACTTTAATCGATGTTTGCGAATTGCGTGACAAGTATCGTCGTAGACCGCGGATTTTTTCTCTCGATTCTTTACAACGTGCTAATCAATTTATTATTCGATTCGTTCCGACCGTACGATTACTAGAAACGTAGTTTCGCGGTTAAGTATTGTAAGATTTACAAAGCGAAAAAAACGAAGGAAAACCATACGCTAATATATATTTGCGTACAAAATTCCCCGTAATACAATTTTATATTAACACATTTCTTTAATTTTGTGTAATTAACTTTTATTATAGGATTATTCAATTGTAACATGTAATTATACTCGTAACGTTTACGACTTAAATCTCGATGATCATGCTATATGAGGATATATATATATACATATATATACAGACGTAAATACGGGCGTGTAGAGATACAGATGTATGGCGTACACGTTCGATCGCATTTTTCGTTGCATTTGTCTAGGAGTTAAATGAACTTGTAACTAAAAACATGTAATATTAACAGAAAGATGACATTACACGTTATTAAGGAGCATGATCGTTGGCCATAACAAAAATGGGGTATATATATTATATATATATATTATATAAATATATTTATGTTAACGTATATAAGTCTCTGTAGGTAAGGTGATAAAAGTGCGATGGCGGCGCCGATTCGCCGGATCGCGGATATTAATAAATTACCTGCAATTGGTGTTCTTTGAAGCATTGTTTGGGAGCCACCGATCGCGCGGGATCGCGCAGCGACCGGGAAATTGAGTTTTGCGTGGAGCCTCGTTGTCTCGTTATTACCAATTAAGGGCCCAATCGAAACGGCGCCGTTGGCGATCAGTTTCGAAGATCGCTACTTTCTAATTAAGCTGAAGGCTTTAAACGCGGTTACACACGGTCACGATTAAAGGAAAAAACAAGAAAGAACAGAAAACGAAACAACCGTTGCAACCGCGCGTAAACGAGACACGAGCGAGAACGAGAACATTTTGTATCTGTACTTGTAGATACAATGCGATAGGCACACAAGAGTAAATCTAAACTAAGGATTCAAATGAAATTAATATATAGAAGAGCTGTATGTAATTAATTATAAGTTCATTCGTCGCTATGATATTATACTTAGGTATCGTATGATTTTTGAAATAAAACATTTGTTTTAAATACACAGGCGAATGTTGAGAGATATATCGACCCGTAATATCAACTTGGATTCACAATGACTCGATGATACTTTGTCGTAACTTTAGCCTCTAAAGGGTGACTTCGAGTTTGTGTGTTAGGAGCTATGAAATTAACTACGTTACTTTTCTCTTTCGCAACTCTACATTATTTTTCTATAGCGTCTCATGCACACTGCGAAAAATTTATTGTGTAACGAAACTATAAACATCATGTGCGTGTAAAACGCGCGCATCTCTCTTTTTATCTTAAATAGAAACAACTTGACAATACCGAATTAAATGCAAAAATTTGTCATTGTTACTTTCAGGTCGCTCGTCCACCAGAAACCTCGGAGAGTCGTGAGTATATTAAGACATATTTAAAATGCCTGAGTCGAAATCACATTATCGCACTCTCGCTTGCAGTATATTTGCACCATAGCACATAACTAATAAAACTAATATTAAGTATCGCATTACCGGTAGCGCGCTTCGTTTCAGTCTAATTGATTCGAACAAACGAATGGTAGATCCATTTCTTTTGCGTTGCTTTTTGTCGAGCGGCTCGACATTCCGTAAATATTCTATCGTAGATTTGTCAAGCATGCACACTTTCAGAGACTTCGCGGACCCGGCGACGAGCGCTAATCTCCTTCACATCAACAAATCGAAAACAGCGGCTGATGTCGTTAGAAAAAGGCAAGCAGCAGCTTTTTATTTTATTTGTTTGCAATGTCAGACGTCCGTCGACGCGTCCGCTTTTCTTACTCGCCCGGCAATTGGATTAAATTGCACAGAAATGAGCCAGAGCCAACAAAGTATTGTCCGTCAGGTCGCTTTCTGCGCGATTTGATCGAACTAGCAACTTTCTCTTGCCCCGCGGTGTGTCCTTCGGCTTAAATAGGTCTTGTACACTTGATTAAAACTCATAATTTGTTCGTCTAATTAGTACATACTCAAATTAAATACAGCTATTCATTAGTGCAGTAATTAAGACTGGGATATCGCGACAAGTTCGTTTCACCAAAGAGGAACGATAAGCACATGATAAGTAGACAGCTGTACACTTTTAATGTATGTTTTGCAGTTAATGAGAATTAGGTTACTCATATATCGTGCTGAACGCGAGTGAACAAAATCTCATTCTATATCTATGCACGTAATGATGAAATGGAAGACAAGTACAGCTTACAAACGAGTTCATGATAAAACCAATTTACGTAATCATTATCACATATTATTATTACGTAGAGATAATTGTGTATGTATATAATTATTAACTGAATCGTCGGCACACATATATTCGACAAGTAAATATCTAATTCTAAGTTGGATCATTCATCTGTATATTCTGTTCCGAAATGACTTGTCGCCTTTTCATTTTGCGTCGCACTTCATCCTTAATGTGATTCCGCGAATAATTCTTGAAAAAGGAGAAAAACGTTGAACCACAAAAAGCGCAATAAAAAAAATAAAACGCTATTCATGTGATAATTTGGTCATTCTAGTCATGTTCGTGTGATTTCCTGATGTTTTTATTTTGCAGTGAGAAAAACGTTGTGTAATTCTGCAACACTTTTATAAATCGACTTTTGTATTTACATAATTACTGACACAGCAATGCGCTACTCTTCTTATCGACATAAGTTCTTGAAACGTCCGTTTTTTGGTAAAAAAACACTTTATTCAATATGCACTTACTAGGTCAAGAGTTATATAATTTTATACCTTATACATACCATTTGAGATGGAAAATCGCAACTCTAATTATAATAATAGTATTATAATATGGTGGTTTTTTAACTGTAATATGTGTGTGGTTTCAACCTTATTTGTATACGTGTAAGGTCGAAAATCGTGTAACTCTCCAGGGAATGATAAAGCATTCACGACGCCATGTGTGCATAGCATGAAATGTCACTTACAATGTGCGAATCGCCTTGTATTTTTCCAAATGATTGTGTTTTTCCTCGAACGATTAACGCAATCGTGTGACGTTCATGATATGATTCCATTTCCTCTTCCCTGCTCTCCCTCACTCAACAATCGTAATTAGCGTGAAAAATCGACGCTTCGTACAATTAGCTTAGTCCAGTATCACACGTATGTGTATATCTGCCTGTCTAGTTATCACAAATGACATAACCGTATTAACGCAGTGCTTATTTCGAAACATTTGATAGACTTTGTCGTGCCCGTGTTGCCAGGACACGAAAAGAGTTCGAGATCGGTGATGCGGGCGCGGCAGGGTGTGTGGCGGTGGAAGAATTGTAGTAAAGGTTTTGACTACGCCTTGTAGTGTTAAATATAAAAAAGGTTTATTTAAATTGTACACTTGTATGAGTTTTAATTACTACTCCCGTACTTATGAGTTAATATGCGAACCGCGCGTAAGTCACGTATGACGCGTATGTCGCGGCGAGAGACCGAGATGTTAAGCCTGACGCGAGTGGTCTCTCCGCTTTTTTATAGTATTGTTTTAGACTTGTCGGAGGGGGTGCCTGGCGACAAGAACATTACCATATTTGGTAATGGTTCGATGCGTTTGGAATTGAGGTCTTAAATGCGGAATGTGCAAGGTGGTGCTTATCGCAGCACTTGCACATCGCTTCCTTGTTGTGGCGCAATTGAAACAATTCCTCGAGAAGTGTTTCGAAAGCGCTGGTACCATTCGTGATTATAACATC